GACACCGAATTGGGGGGGGGGAGCGCCTAATCGTGTGGGTTTGGCAGCTCAGCGAAGAGTGTATAGTTTTTTGGGGTGGAGGGGTGGCGGCCGTATTGTGCGGGGCTTCTGTCCCGCATTTGACATTTAGACGAATGGACTTTTATAGTCACAACGGCCTGCAGACATGTGTTCTGCTCTTTCCCCGCAACGTATGCCTCGTTCTTTTCTCCTACTGCCGAGAATGTTGATTTCAATGTAGCGCATGCTTGATGGGTGGCGCCGCACGACGACACTTCCTCCTTTGTCTCCCTCACCTCATCTCTCTCCGTACTGCTTCTCCACAAGCCGTCTTGTGGTGCATCGCCTCCACGTGTGAGCGAAGACGACAACGCGCAGAGAGAGAACACGCGTGCGTGTCTGTTTGTCTGTCTGTGTGCTGGTGACAGAGGGACAAGCTGCAGCAACATCAGAAAGGATAACTAGAACGCGTAGACTCATACATAAATAGAGGTAAAAGAAACGAGGCGTAGTTATTGTCGCAACATCAGCTGCTGGGTGAGAGTATATATATACAGTCAGCTATTGACTGGCACAGATTCGTCTTGTACACACCAAAAGCGACACCAATGGCATCACCGCCGTCTTCGACTAATCAGTTCACGCGTGCATTGGAGCTGACGCACATGTACATCCCCGACGTGACGCAGCGGCAGCGGCTGGAGGCGGAGCAGTACCTCATGGCGCTGCGTGCCACCGCCGATGGCCTCAACTTGGCATTTCACATCGTGAGCAACGAGCCGGTGCACGAGGTACGCTGCTTCTGGGCCTTCAACACGATCATGCACCACTTGCCGAGCCTCGCGTGCAGCATCAACGCCGCACAGGCGGAGGAGCTCTACCGCACGCTCTTCTCTTTTATCTACCGCTTTTTCTTCTCCTCCGCGGCGCCGGCAGTGCAGCAGCGGCAGCCGTTGGACTACCTCGCCAACAAGCACGCGCAGATGATGGTCGCCGGCCTCCAGGAGTTCTTCCCCACGCGCTGGTGCTCCTTCTTCGACGACGCCTTCGAACTGCTCGAGCGAAGCGGCACGCTGCCGCACGTTGCCGACGCCGTTACAGTCTACGTGCTGCGGCTCTTTGAGTACATTGACGAGCGCGTCGTGTCGGTGCGGTCGCGCGGCGATCGTGGCCGTGAGCAGCGTGCGCGCGACATGGAGCTCAAGGACGCCATGCGGGAACAGGTGATGCCGCGTGCCGTCGCGACGTGGTACAACATTCTGTGCAGCTGCCGCATCCACGCGCCGGAGATCGCGCGGATATGCCTCTGCGTGGTACAGACATACATTGAGTGGGTAGACGTCGCCCTCTTTATCACGGCGGAGTGGATCAACCTGCTCTACTTCCTCGTGACCACGCCTGCTGTGCGGGGGGCCGCATGCGAGTGCATCTACAGCTTAGTGGAGAAGAAGCAGCTACCGGTGGTGAAGATGGAGTCTCTGCGCATTCTCAACGTGGTCGATGCACTGCCCCGCATCGCCAGCCTGCTTCAGGTGCCGCCGGAGACGGAGGAAGATGCTAATTTTCTTGAAGTGGTTGCACGCCTCATGTGTTCAGTCGCAGAACAGTTCCTGGCCCTCTACGAGAACGTCACTGCCGTTGCTGAGCAAACTAACATTCATAATGGTAATAACCCTAACAATAATAATAATAATAATAATAGCAGCAGCAACATGGGCGGTGGCGAAGTCGGCGGCAAGTGCAGTGGCACAAAGAGTAAAGAGTTACAGCTGCAGCAGAGTGGAAATTTGCCAGTGGAGTGCCTGGACGCTGTGAGTGCGGCACTCGACACGGTCTCAGGGCACTTGCTACAGCTGCTGAGCGTCATCAACAGCGATGTGAGCGACACGTTACTGCCGTTCGTTCAGGCATACACCAAGTCGGCCGCACTTCGTGAGAAACAGGCGGTGCAGCTGCTTCTTATATTGTACGACCAAACAATTATACGCGGCGTCGCGACGAAGGAGGATTTGATGTGGCTTGATGATGTCATTGATCGCCGCAAGCAGATGCACAATCTCATGCGGCTGCTGTTTCGCCGCTACCCCACAGTCGTACAGCAACACATGCAGGCGGTGATTCAACGCTCTGCTGGTGGAGGCGACCTGAGCTCTAACGCGATGGCGATCGGAGGCACGAGCGCCGAACAAATGCCACTGTCGCAGCAGCATGGGCAGGTGCGAAGCGTGAACTGTGGGGATAGTGGCGAGGGCAACGGCTGTGACCCAGCGGAGGTGGAGGCGGCACTGCGTTACTTTTATGAACTAGGCGAATCCATTCGCATGGAGAAGCTGCGAGACGCCAGCAATGAATTTGCGCAGCTTCTGTGTGTCGTGCTGTCCTCCGAGTGCATTGCGCGGTGTCCGTGTGCCGTAGTGCATCTTAGCTACTTTGAGGTTCTCGACCGCTACTACACCTTTTTCATCTACCACAAGGAGTACATTCCACTCCTATTGCAGCGACTTCTGCTCTCGCCCCACGGCGTCACAAATCGGCACCCACGTGTTCGCGCGCGGATCTGCTACCTCTTCGGACACCTCGTGCAGCTGTTGAAGGGGAACCTCATGCCGCACAAGCAGGACATTCTGCAGGCGCTGCGCGTCGCCTTCACCTCCGGTGTGCTGCTACCGAGCGATCGCTGTGAGTTGTACGAGGCGACCGGTAACCTACTGAGTGTAATGCCGCCCTTGCCTACATCTGCCGGTACTGCTGCTCCTGCTGGGGATGCCGTGGGAGATGGCGAGACGATGATCGTGCAGGTGATGCAGGCTGTGGCGCAGAACCTGCGCGATACGTCAGTATCCTCCTTGAGTAGCGTAGCTGCGACTGTGACTGGTGTGGCTGTGGGTGCGGGCGGCGACTCTGCGTGTGCGGAGGCAGTGGCAGACGCCGTGTCGTATTTGAGTGCACTCGCCAAGGGTTTGCGTGGCGGGAGCAGCAGCGGCGGCGGTGACGCTTCTGGCGGCAGCAGTTGCAACAGCAATGCCGGGCCGGCGGACACCATCGCGGCAGCGATGTTCTACGACATCACGGGGGATGTGATGGCGGCGCTTAGTGCTTGGCGGGTCTCTGCGTCGGTGCGGGACCGCGTGTCGCAGTACTTCACGCAGATGGTGCACACGCTACCGTTCGAGTCGATGCTCGTGTACTTCCCTTCGTACGTCAGCGACGCGCTGGCGTGCATGGAGGCGATTCCTGAGCTGACGAAGCTGCTGCGGCTGCTGAACCAGTTCGTCCACCGCAGTGGGGTGCGCGTTGTGCCGGTTCTCGCGCGCGTCCTGCCTCTCCTGCTGCAAAAGGTGGCAGCCGTGGGGGAGCTGTCGCTTTCGCAGATGGATATGGGTGTCGTCTCGGAGAGCACGCGTGAGAGGCGCGAAGTTTACAGGCAGCTCTTCTGTGTGCTTCAGGGCGCCGCACAGGCGGGTTGTGTTGCGGTCATTGTGACCCTCCCACCAGCAGAGCTTAGAGCTCTTCTCTCGCAGCTCTTCGCCGCGGTCCATCTACCTGGTGAGGTGGAGCTGTCAAAACTCGCTCTGCAGATAATGACAAAACTCACCGTCTGCACCACCACCACCACCACCACCACCACCAGCAGCAGCACCAGCAGAACCATTGACGGGGTCACGAATGACAACTGCATTGTGAACAGCAGTGGCGTCTGCAGCAATAACTTTAAGGAAGCCTCTCTTGCTGGTGCTGGTGTTGGTAGTGAGAATAGTGTTGTTGTTGATGGTGGTGGTGGTGGTGGTGGCAATAGTGTTGGTGGCGAAGACTTGGTGTTGTTTATGCTGAATGAGCTGGTGCCGGCGTTGCTGCAGCGTTTCCTGTCCCCGACGTTTGACCTGAAAGATGCGAAGAACTTTCTTCTTATTGGCGAGGCGGGGCTCTTACTAAAGGCGTTGATGGACCGGCTTGGTCCAGGCAACCCGTCGCTGTGTGTGCTGCTGTACAACACGCTGCAGCCGCTGGTAGGCGCGGAGGAGGCGACGGGACTTGTGACCGCGTTGCAGAAGGAGCCACGCTTCACAACAGAGATGAAAGTGCGGTTCCGCAACATGCTGCAGGTAGCGAAGGAGCGGCGGGATGTAACAAGCATTGCGACATGAGGAGGAGG